GTGAGATATGACAACTGGTATACCTCCATAGGTAGGATGTGGGTTAAAGGACTCCAATCCTCAGAGATTTGATCGATACCGTTTTCCTCACACGCTGTAGATCTCAAAACAGTAAATATAATGTGAGGTATAATCAGAGGGTCTCCATGCAACATGTTCTCATCCTAACTCCTCACAAAATGAATGGAGAGTGGCTGGGTATGAGCATCCTGAATGACAGTTGTTCTCTAACGTGACACTGTCCCAACCGACCCCGCTCCCCGCTGTTTCTATGTTTTGTATGCAAAGATCTTGATTTGCGGTTCCTTCATTCATGTGATGCAACGCTCAGCTGTTTCATACATGTTTTAAAGAGTTGATCTGACTCTATGGCTGACACAGGTTATTCTCAAGAGCAATACTCTGGCATTCACTTTGTGCAGCTGGTTGAAACATTTGGACTTTTTCGTACCTTATTTGATCTTCTCGCTTCCTCCCGGGGGAGAAAACCTTCCGCCTTTCGTCCCGACTTGACGCCTGCACACTAATGCCAAGTCTAGTATAATTAAAGGTGACACTTCCGGTACAGCCTTTCAAAATAAAGCCTGTGTTGACCAACTTGATGAACGTTGAGTTTTGAAGAATGACTATCTTAAAAGGAATGGTCAGTGTACAGAGGAATTTCTGTTTTCCAAAGGGTCTTGCGACAACATTCATGTATTCATGCTGTAGCCCATCCACAAGACATCCACCACAACAATTTGTCCCATCAGATATTGCACTCCCTTCTGTGTCCAAGGCATGATTTTGTTCAACCCAATATTTTTACTTCATTTCACCTTTTCAAAAATATCACCCCAAATACACAATGGATGTGGCTCTAAAATGTAATGTATTTTTCTTTGACAACTACTTTGCCAATCACGTTACATAAAAAATCAACATTGATTTGTACCCTCCTGTCCTCTTCCTTAGTCTCTGAGGCCCCAGCTCACCTGCTCTGTCTTGCACTAAAATGTAAGGGGTGTTTGATATTGTATACTTGTTAGACATTAAGGCAATATATGTGTGAAAATATGAATCACTGAAATAGATAATCATGTGTTAGGTGGCAGCCACTGAACAGATGTAGACGACAAGTGCAAAAAACAGATAAGATGTTTTGTTACGGATGCTATTTCACAGACCAGTTATGTTACATGAATATTTGTGTGTTATACAGTCGTCTAAGAGAGAGGGGACAAAAAGAGGACAGAGTTCATCAGCTGGCCAAGCAATAACAAAACACATCGAGAGAGGGTCTTCTTCTTTGCTCACTTAATTATCACCACCTTATACAAACATTATCGCCAATTTATATGGAAATAAAACAGTAAAATTACATATTCTGGGAGTTGATAGTATTTGTGACTTAAAACAAATGACTCATCTGTGTCTTGAGTAAGAACTTAAAGTTTTAAAGAGCAAACTTTGTCATCACCATTCGCAAGCATAATAAGAGTCTCTGTCTTTAGTGATACACACATTAACTAATGTTAGCACACACAAAATGAGGTGAACTGTATAAACAAGTAAGCACTCATCGCCCTTCCTTATGTGACTCTTCATCTTCACACTGAACAACGCAATTTATTTTCATAGCACAATTCATAAATCAAGGGGCTTTAAAAACATTTAAACTTTAAAGAGAGTTAGACAAACTTTAAGATATGGAATAAAAGAAAGTTTGAACATGTTTACAAATTTAGAGGCAATCCTGATATAGAAAATTTAACAAAAGACAAAATATAAGAGATAAACACAACTAAAGCAGCACAAAATAACAGGGTTTTAAGTATGCTGTTGAATGTGATCAGACTTAAAGTACACCTTAGATCCTCTGATAATTAGAGAAAAGAGTATGACTTACCCTGCAACTCCAACTTTTTGATTTAAATAATGAAAAACAACTTAAAACCTTGAAAGGCTGATCTGCATTAGGTATAGTGAAATATGCAAAGTTGCCCTTTGACCACTAGAGTGCAGTAGAAATACATCAAATCCAAGTTGAAATAAATAATAATAATAATCAGTATTGATACAGAGAGAGTCTAAGTTAAAAAAAAAAAGAGTGTCAGTCACAGTCCTCTTTGTCCAAAGTGACATGCGGCAGTCTGATCAAAGTCCTCTTCTCTCTGCAGTGATAAATATCACTGTACCAGCTATTTTCCCTATCCATATTTCTTCTTCTCATTCCTTTAATGTTGCGGTGAAGGACCACATTGAGTGTGTTTGTCTGTTTTCTTTTATTATTTCAGTCTGCCTGCTTCAGTCTAAATGCACAACCATACCGTAGGATTATAAGATTAAACCTCATTTACAGTCACAGTCATCATTGCTTTTCGTAGCCAGTAATAACAGCGGCAGGATTGTCATCCTCGTCCTTTCATTTGATAAAATGAAATCAGTTAAGGTTCAGCAAGCATGAAGTGCATAGACAGTACTGGCCGACATGGGCCCAGTCACTTATTTAAGGCTATTAACCAGAATAATTAAAACTGTGTCTTATTTCAGATAGACATTAATTGTTAATCATAAAAAGAAATGATGAGGACATGCAAGTTATGATCTATATTGGCTCCTTCTATGCCTGCTTGTCATTTCAGAAATGTGCAGAAAAAGCAATTAGCAAGAGCTGTAATAACAAATATGATAGAATATCTAAATATGTAGAGGTATAGAGAAAAAAAGGGTAGTTGGTTAATAAAACCAAAGCCACACATGACATTGTATTAGTCTCGCAAACCAACAAACTAGAGTAACGTCATACCCTTTGTTTAGATCCAAAACACCATATTGGTGAAATGAAAGAAATAGTTCAAGTAACATTAAGTAAGGATTAATGACAACATGCAACCACTGTAGCTATAACTATGTAGAACAAAGGTCTGTACACATCCACCGCAATATGTTCAGTCTCTACCAATCTGGTAGAACATTGTTAGATTTCTCATTATTGCACATTGACAAGAACATCAAAATTGACTCTGATTCACCTAACACCAGTGTCTGTCTCCCCACAGTCTTTATGATTCTGATCAGTGCAGCCAGTCAACTCTAAAAGGTCAAGTGGAGCTACAATTGGTCATTAACCAGCCTGTTCCACTCATATTGAATAAAGAGCGAGTAAAGCAGCCTGTGTGCCGCGCTGAAGACGACTTTAGGATTCAAGTCAATATTAGAGCTACAAGACAAGAGAGGCGGTTCATACGAGATGCCTGCTTACACTGCTGACACCACTGACGTTGCTTCATAAAGACCTAATGAAGCATTCACTTGACATTGAAACTTCTCGTGTCATAGAATTCACTTCGCAAGCAGAAAACGTTCTTCGTGACTCCTTGAGTCCTAATAGGACATGAGGTTGGCATTTACATTATTCTCTTATACTGGGATTGAAACCCAGCTAACACACAGTAGTCTACTGAGCATCTTATTACACCAATGGGCATTGCACTGTATATGCTTTACTGGACAAATAAAGCATTTATACAACATTTTAAATACTTGACCATGCTTTTATTGAGATTCGAACAAAATTACACCGGCATGGGACTACAAATTCATCAAGTACCAGAGTGAGAAATCAGGGGAGGGATAATCTAAAACTTGTTATACACTTACCAAAGTGAATCCACACAGCAAAAAGGAAGCTTGAAATGAACATTGATGTCTCTCTCTTCCCATGAGCCATACAACGCCATTCAAAGAAGAACTAGGTGGACATGATTTTGCAGAGCAAATTTCTTTTTGGATTGTGACATGTTGGAGAAGATCAGGTCTTTTAACCTGTGTGGGTGCAAAATGTTCTTCTCTAAAAGCCTCTAAGACACAAGAATAGTACGATTAAACCATTTGGAAAGAAGGTACAATGACTATTAAGGAGCACAACTACAAAAAGAAATAACTTATCACATTTTCATTTAGAGTATCAGTAATGAAAACACTTGAAATTATCATTTCCCACATGTGCAAAACCATCCAAAGTAATCTCAGTCATTCAGGCAGTGTTTAGCACCATGGACAGCGACACAGAAACTAAGCTTGTGTTGTCGTCCCTCAGGTTACACTGCTAGCACACATACATGTTTCTTTGGTACAAGCTATTCTAGTGACCTTTGGAAACTCATAGGCCACCGTACATTTTGCTTCGGCTGAATCAAACTAATTGGATAAGAAATGTTTTTCTTGCTAGTATGGCATTACTGCCTCAGCAATAATCAAAGTTATCATATCAGCCATAATTCAAGCTACAATGATTATAAGGAGCTACAGACAATGAAACTAGCACTACTAAGTTTACAGTGACCTATTGTGGTGTAGAATAACTACAAGCCTATTCTGTTCTAACCGATTGCAGCCACACAACATTTGTAGTGGTGGTGCATATTCTCAAATGTAGCATAATAGAATTTCTTACTTCATTTTCGTAAGGGATTATTCGCAACACAACATGCATACAACTTTCAATAAAACAATCGAATCTCACAATTTGGAGTGAGATTTTTGCATGGACCAATGTCGGCCCCAACCTAGCGCATTCTCAACTTAAAAAAAAAAAAAATTGTATCCACTCCCTATATGAGCACATCGCCCAATTGGTATGCACTCAGCGGGGATCGCCTTTGTTTTCCAGCAGCGCCTGTCCCGGAATATGGCCAATAATGATGCTGAGGGGCGGGGAGCAGCGCGAGCCGCAGACCCAGTGAGTCTGAGAGTCTGGCGGGGTGCCGAGGAGAGGCAGCAGGCAGCGGCGGCGGAGATGGGCTCACACCTCTGAATCACAAGTCAACCTCCAGTCGCTCGCACCTCTGAATCACATCTCAACCTCCAGTCACGCATCTCGGAGACGTGGGACGACTAGTTTTCTTTTTTCTTTTTTTTTTGAGGGGTTTTGCTTGTGGCGCTCAGAGATTTCTAGACTGAAGCTGCAGGAGCAGGAAGGTTTCTAGTTGCGTTCCGACGCTCAGCACTGTCGCCTCACCTGCACGGCCGGCGAAGAGGTCCGCGGTGGTAATAATGCATCCAGATAAGTACTTACCTGAACTGGTGGCCGAGAAAAAGAGCTTGGACCCCTCCCTTGTGCATGCGGTGCGTCTACTTGCAGAAGGTAAGTCAGGTATTTTTCAAGTCCGATCTACTCTGAGCTTTGCACAGTTATTTACCAAAGACATTCACCCGGTTACCTGCAACTGAAAACACCATTGCATTGCATTTCAGGGAAGTACAGTGACCTAATGTGAGCTCATTTCAACACATTGCCCTTGCCTCTTAATGCTTGCTCGATGGCAGTGAATTCACTGTGCTGTGTGTTTAATGGAGGCAGCTGCTCTTTGGCTCCAGTGCAGAACTTTTCTGAGGTTTTCTAACATCGAGGGGAAGAAATGCAGTGAGCACAGAAAGTAAAGTGTGTGTTAAGTCAAAGCGTGGTCACATCACTGACCTCCAAGTTCAACCTCTGCACACTACATTCAGAAAATGAACTTAAACTGTTCACGGAGCAGTTCTCCAGGATAAAAATGGCGAAAGGACTAATTCCCTACAATTTGCTGGATTTGAATAGTGCTGTTAACCTAAGGATATGTACAGTGTATTATTGCCATAATTACTCGGCATATAAGATTAGAATTGTAACATCTTTATCGGACCAAAACAAGTTGTCAGAAAGGACTTGTGTTCAGCAAACTTGACATGCGCCTTGAGTTTTCTGGATTCAAAATTAAGCCCACTGACCAAATATCATATTTCTTAGAACTCTACATTTAATACACAATTTAGGTAAATGCAATTTAGCATGACATTCACATTCTCTTTTATATCACTACTTATAGTAACTGTCATCAAGGTCACAGAGAAGAATTAATGCCATTGTGACCGATGTTCTACAGCCTTTAGATTTTATATTACAGTATATCTAACAAGGCAGTATACATCAGCTTCAACCTACAGCATAAAGTAGCCCAGTTCTGCATACATCAGGTAGCCTTGGTGTCATCCACATGCTGAGAATGTGTCACTTTGGAAAAGCAAACGCAAGAACTCAACTCAGCTCATTCGGTCCACAGATGTAACTTTTGCATTTCTCCAGCTCAAATCCCGACTGTGTGCTCTGAAGGTTTGAGTGATGTGCTTTTTTTTTTGGTGAATGGATGAGTGGATAAACTTTTTATTCTTGTGTCATAAATCCAAAGGGGCCTTGCTCACGTGGGCGTACAGGACACTAGAAAACGCACAGGAAAGCACTTGGTACTGTAGCTTGTATGAAAACATAGATAACAAATGACCACATTTACCATAGAACGCTTTGACATGTTGGCTGTAAATCATCAACAAATTCTCAGCTGTGACACACCCATTTATTGTAATCTATCTATTCTATATATACTAACAGTTTCTGACATGTTTATTAAAAGAGCCATGTCAAAATGTGTGTTAGTTTAATATGTGGTGATTGGACAGGGTGTTTGTGCTCTGGTGTTTTCTGCCCCTTGAACTTTCCTGCTGAAATGTGTTGATGAGTGTGGATGAAATGTGTCACGCTCTTGTCGCTAACTGTGATGCAGATGGGATCATCCATCACACAGTTCACTTTGCCAAATTTACAGGAGGCTGACTCACATAGCGAGGATACAAACTTTAAAAAAAAATTGTTTATCATATCCACATTGAACAGCAACTAGCATGTTTTCATGTTTATTTCATTCAGTTAAAGCATTCATTTGTGAATTAATAACAGTGCAGTTCCCCATAATGAGCAAGCTCTTCCACAATACAGTATATTACTGTATACAAAAACACAATACACTGCAATAGATGACAATATATTGCAATAGAAAAGCATGTATCCAGTTAACAAGGTGACACACAACAGCGTGCATCACACACAATGGTGGACAATCGTTATAATAAACTGTCAGTTCAGACCATCTCGCATTGTCAACTAGGAAAATGTTCAACTTAATCATCTGCGGGCAGCATGTGAAATACCCTGTTTGCGATTTCAACCACTTTCCCACAGTTATCATTTTTTGTCAGTCTATGCTCGTGGATAATGCAGAATCATACATATCAGTGGCCAGCAAGATAAACTTCCGTTTATGGATTTATACATTCACAGCTATTTTATCAGTGAGTAGCAGAGCATTAAATCCTGCATTTTTCACATCATGGACGATACACAGCATGGCATGGAATTACCATGGTCTCAGTTAAGAGCTCCATATTCAAGAAGTGAATATGTGTTTAAATGGTGTTGCCTCTAAAAATCATTTGTCTTTCCTTGAGCAGATTTAAAGCTGTTTGTGACAAAGCTCTTTCAGGGGGTGGGTGGGGATCATTCTCCTTCACAGCTTCTCTTTTCCTTTGATAGTTGGAGTAATTATATAAAAAAAAAAGATTATTTGAATACAAAATGTATAAAACTGTTAACCAGTCTTCCCATTTACTCCCAAAAACGGCTCCTTTTTTGGACACAAAGACAACTTATTTCAATGAAACATTAGCTTAATGATTGCTCAGATTGCCAATAAAGTAAATTCCTTCATGTGTTGCACCTTAATTTACCTTTGACTAAATAACAGTGCAGTTATTTTAAAAGTGGGTTGAAGAGAGAGTCAATAAAAGGAAGCCTTTAATGGATCCCAGTGGTTTTCCTACATGCCATGTAGCCTTGCAATGAAACTAATAAGGTGAAAAGAAAAGCAGACATGGAAGCAGATGTGAGATAATTGCTTGTTGAGAAAAAAGAACCAGACGTGTGCTATGTTTCCAATTTTAGGGTAAAAGGGACATTTTTCAAAATTTATTTTTGCAATCACTATTTTTACATTACCACTAAACATTTTGGCAGGGTATGTAATATCTTAAATGCCCTCACATGTGCTGCTAAGTGCAGGGATAATACAAACAAATCTGCATGAGATTCAACTTTACAGTGTTTTCACAAGCGCAACTTCATCATTTTGCTAGTTTAATGTCCATTAAGTTAAACATTTAGAGCTTGAACTGCCTTTGTCTTGAAACCCGACATTGTCTGAGCTCACAACTCTCTTCAATTCACCAAACACATGAGTTTGTACTCATCATGTCCATTTCCTCCTCGTGTTTAGCCATTTTGGAGGCATAAGTTTTCCCTCAAGTACTGAGTTGCCCTTTCTTGTGGTTCTCATGTTTAAACACAAGAGGGAATATTCTTAGAAAGAGGGGGAACAACCATCAGTTAATTACAGTACTGGTCAGTTTCTGCTTGCACGCATTGTATATGTAAATTCAGCGCCACATACTCAAGGCTGATGAAAATGCTCAGTCACAGCTCTATCGAAAACATGCTCACACCACATTTTGGGCAATGACCCTTTAACTTTAATTAAAAGTAATCAGACAATGCATGAACCAGTGCGATGCACTGCAACTCTTTTAGCCTTAGTTTCAGTCAGCCAATAATGAATAGCGATAATTAGCTATTGAGATGGTAAGCTTCAATGAGTGACTATTAAGGAGGTATGAATCTTACTCTATACTCGGAGTATATGAGGCTTTAAGAGTTGCTGCTTTCTGCATGGTGCATCATACAATCAATGTACAAATACATATAACAGGAGGCTTTCTTCAACACATTGATGCTTAGTCAGGAAGGTTCTATTAAAACGTCTTACATTCTTACGATTGATTTGGACGATGTGTCACCACAGAGTGCAATTCTCCCTCTAAGAATGGATTGCATTTAATCTACCCCGCTCCTATTTATCAATTGTTGCTCACACACTCCGTGTTTCCATTATGGCCCTGCTCAGTATCCAGCAGTGACCCAGCTCACATAGCGACAGATAAAACAACCCATGTGGTATGACCTATCAAAAGGACACAAAAATTACATTTCAGGAAAGTGATACATTGCATTACATTCTCAGCATTTAGCAGACGGTCTTATCAAAAGTGACTTACAATGAGCGTATAGGTCGAATAAGATTAGACTCCAAGGTTGTGAGCATTCCAAGCAACTGAAATGAGAGGACAAGCCAAAACAGCAGCACTCAGACAATTTATAAGATATCCGATTATGTTGCTGTGCCTCTTGAATGGTCACATACAGGACAGGTCAAATACAGAAATAGAAGTGGGATTTTTCGATGTAAAAACCAGCTAAAACAGAGGAAAGTGCAGGTGAAACAGTGGCATATGGTATTTAGGAAGGAAGGTAAATTACTCTCTTTTCAGATACTGTGGTTACATTTGAATATGGTTGATTAATCCCTTTCAATTCACTTGTAAATGACAGACTTGAAGTGATTAGACCACTACATGCTGATGGAGGCTAATGTCCTGTTTCGTCCAACATACCAGTAATTACATTTACACAGATTGTCCCATCAGACAAGGAAATAAAGTGCTACAGGGAGCAGGATGCCAGATAAACACAATTAGGACTGGAAAAAAGAGACACATACTGATCATGAAGGAACAAATTAATCAATGAATCAATCAATCAAAGAATAAATCGGTCGATCGTGGCTGTACATATTTTGCACAAATACAATCTACAACTGCAAGAAAATAATATGTGTTGCTAATTAAATATATGAAAAATATGGGAATTTAATTGAACAATACATTACATAACAAACAACCAAAATAAATCCAATAACATACAAAACACTTTTCACATAATCTAGAGGAAAGATTTGCAGATACATCTCATCCTTGGGGCTTTGCTGAAAATTGGCAACTAACATCAATAGGACTGAAGAGAATGCAGCGACCAGTAATCAAGATACTTTGCGAGGCTGCGAGCTGCCTTTCTTTCTGAATATTTTTGATTGAAAATTCAACAGCACCAAGTGTAATATATTGCCTTTGTCCTCTCATCCTACCTGATGTCCATTTCCCTAATTATCAAAGCCATACCTCCCCCCTGCTTTCCAAATCAATTAGACGTGCAGAAGGAACACATCAGCCAGTTTGTCAAATAACAGAGAGTAGAAGTAGTTGTGGTACTGTATCATTAAAAAATTATAGGTATATTTTATATTTAGGTCACACATAA